CCATAACATTACGACTACTCGAATATCGTACTTTCCTAGAAAACTCGTGTAAAATCCATCGTTGTCCGCATCGCGAAATATGAGGATATCGTATTCTAGAGAACTGCTAACTCCGTAAGTTGATCCTTTACCGTTCGATCGGCCTTGACCGTTGAACTACTACTCGCGATTGGTCGCGGTTGAAGAAAAAAAAAAAAAAGAAGAAGAAAAGAGAAAAAAGAAAAAGAAAAGATCAACGATCAAACGCAGAAGACGTTTTCGATGGACGGTCGGATTGAAATCGAACTTAACGGCAAAAGGTGGGCGGCCAACACTCGTTTTAGGAACGCGACTTTCGCGTGATCCACGAGAAAAAGGGGATCAACGTTCCAAAGGCGAAAGACATATCGAAAAGTGAAACGATCGCGGGTTTCGAAGAATGCGATCGAGGAACCGGTTCACGTGCTCGCTATGCTCTTGGAGGGCTTCGGTTTCGCGAAGCAAACGTATCCCGCACTCACATCGCAGCCGGACACCAGGAGATTCATTAGCACGCTGTTGCACGCTGGATTCCGGTGTGGGATCTGACCGATCGTGTCGCCGTTTTCTACGCCGCTCCGGCCACACCTTCCACCGCTCTCCTTCCCCTCGCCTTTCCTTCCGCCGCCGTCGCTACTGTCGCCACCGCCCCCGTCTCCTTCCCCATCCTGCGCCACGTCCAGCTCCGAGTCTACTCGATTCGCGCTCTGCCGCCCGTTCCCTGCCGTACCCTCGAACGATTCGTTCGCGAAATTATTATTTCGCAGGGCGTTTTGATGCGACACCAAGCGGCGCAGCAGTTGACTGTTCCCGAGGTTGTTCGACGGCGAGCATTTCCTCGAAGACGGTTGCTGCTGTTGTTTGGTCAAGAGATGATCCTCCAGATGGCAGCTGCGTTTCGCGTTGGACTCGTCGCATTTGATACGTTTATTGTCGTTTCCTACGTCTATCGAGGCAGTGTGAATACGCTTCGCTGGTCTGTCCACTTTGGAGGACCAATGGCAGTTATCTAGATTTATATCTGAGAGAGGACAACACAAGGCATCAGTCGCGCCTGGTTTAATTTTTTAATTAATTAATAAACGCACCTGTCTATCCAACTGCTTCCCACAACTCCTAAATATATATATATAAAAATATGAAAGAGAGAGAGACTCGAAGACACTCACTTTTTCTAGGGATTTGGCCGAGAACTTGGACCGGATTCACCAAACCCCCACCGTGGTCGTTGTACTTTCTCGAGACGACCTGATCCGTTTTCAAAAGCTGTGCCAAACTAGAATCCGACGTTCGTTGCTCCTTCTCCGCCAACATCCTACAACGCGCACGCGCAAAAAAGAAGAAATTTTCATCCTTCGCTTTCGCTTTTCATCTTTATTCTTCTTCTCACTCGTACCATTTCAAACCGTTCTTCTGATCCGTCGTCTGCGGCGGGCTCCACATCACCATATCGTTGCTGATAAGCAGATCCAACGCCTCGTCTTGATCCGACATCGGTATGTAAGGAGCCCTCAACTCCAACTCGTCGTCCGCTATGCTGTCGTTCAATCCCAACATCAACATCTCGTCCTCCGACAAACCGTCGGCGCCGCTACCACCGGTAGGGCTGCCCAACGAGTCTATGCTCCTCTCGGGGCTCTGCAAAGAGAGAGAGAGAGGAAAAAAAAAAAAAGAAATAAGAAAAGGAACGCAATTATAAATTTGGAACCGAGAGAAAAGAGATTTTATCCGTTTTCTTTCTAATCGACTCACTTGGCGATACTTGGTAAGCTGGGGTGAAACAGCGGTCGGATCGATGCTGCAAGGGCTGCTCGGCGAGTCGCCGTACATGAACGGGTCGCTGTCGGCCAACGACTCCCCCAGATCCTTGCCTCTCGCAGGGGTGTCGCCCAACTCGGCGTCCTTGAGGGGGTCGCCGAAATCCGTGGATCGCAATTCGGGGGCCAACGCTCCGCCCGGGCTGAGCAGGGGACAATAATTGTCGCTACTAAGGATAAACTCGTCGAGCATTTCCGAGAGGAAAGGCGTGTCCTCGAGGGGGACGCATACGTCGCCAGGTGTAGGCGCCAGATGCGTTAGGTCCTCCGGCTCGTCCTTCAGCACTGCAACATTTTCACAGTGCGAGAAATTTCCAAACGGACCGTTTGCTCTTCCGCCTCGACGAATAACGACAAGGGAAGGGGAGGAAAAATCGCTTTGTCTGGCGCGAAATAAAATAAAACGAGAAAGTAAAATAAATCGTTGGATTGGATTTCTCTCTCTTTTCCAAATTTTGTTCCAAAAAGGGATTGGATGTAACCGAGAACGCGTAAATAATTTCTCTTTGATTCTCTTAAAACGTAAATCTATATCTATGTTCCTTCTAATGAAATATCTCGAAAAAATTTCACCCTCTTAATTAATGAATCGAACGCATCGTCTCCTTTTCTCTCCAAGAGCACGACTGCTATTTATATTTAATTTTTTTAAAATATCGCTTCGTAAAAATAGGTTCCTAAGCTCTTTACGTATAATCTTACTAGTTGTAATCTTATCTTACGAGTAATTATCTTATGGTAATCTTGCTGCTTCGAAACAGGCCTGGAGTGCAAAGGGTTAACGCGAAAAGAAAAAAAAAAAAGAAGAAAGAATATCGCGCCTCGACGAGAAAGACGGGGGAGAAAGCGACACCCACTCGTAAGGCCTGGATGATCCTCGCTGAAAGTCAAGAAGCCTTTGTTCATGTCCTCGGTACGAGGTGCGAAGATAGTCGCAGTCGCTGTTTGTGGCGGTGGTCTGCAAGTGATCTGCTGTTCCTGCTGTTGCTGCGTGGCAATGGAAGCGAACAGGTGTCTGGTGACCACGTGCGGTCTGTCCTGGCGTACAGCGGTCTCCGGATCGTATTCCAGCGCGGGTTTACCCTAAAAGATCGTTCGCCACCGTTCACGAAAAATTATTCCACCCCCAAAAACAATATAAATATATATATATATATATATATACACACGTACCTGGAACTCGAACGGAGCACGGCCACCGGCCGATTGCTGACGGCACTGCTGCTTCTTTTTCGGCTCGCTGTTCTCCTTGATCGACTCCTCGAGAGACTGTTTCAGCGCTTGAACACCGGCGAACGATTTCTCCGTTGATTGGACCGGTCTCGGGAAGGTGTTATCCTTCCGCGAGCCGTCCTGAGCGAGCCTCCTCGGCTTGTTGTCCGCCGCGCGGAAAGTCGAGCTGGTCACCGTCAACGGTTTCGTCGCGCGGTCGAACGAGTCGATACCGATCTCCGGTTGCGCGGGCGACAGGGAGAATCGTTCCTCGTTTCCAACGTCCAACGACGTCCCTTCTTCCAGGTTATTGTTGCTCCTGTTACTCTTGCCGCTGCTGTTGTTGTTGTTCACTTGGACGCGGAGACGAAGCTTGGTCGTGAGCAGAGGCTCGACGAGGATTGGATCGGCGGCCGGTTCCTCCGGCTTCACGGCCTTCTCGGTGTCACGTGCTGCGAGCTGACGCGCGCTGTACACCTCATCCTCGCGTTCCACACCGCTGAAAGCAGAAATCCTACCTGGTGGAAACTGGTCACCTCCGCGCGATCAACTTTCCCTCTCTCTCTCTCTCTCTCTTTCCCTCTTGGAAAAGGATCATCCAATTCTCCTTTTGATTTGAATCTGAGAATATCGCGGTTAGGTATTCGAGAGAAATTGGAAAAGGAAAAGATTGTATGGAAGAAGAGATGGATAATAGGTTGTGGCTTGTAGCAGTATCACCGAATCGCGAACAGGTTGAATGGACGACTGAGACAGAGCTCGCATCTTGGACGGCCTACTTTAAGCCTCGAACGAGCTCGCGTCCCCCTCTCGTTCGCGCGGGTCCTGACCCTCGAGAACGGCCACATGGCCACG